CCTGTGGGGGAAACTGGAGCACCCGGAGGAAAACCCACGACAACACGGGGAGAACATGCAAACTACACATAGAAATGCCAACTGACCCAATCAAGGCTTGAAGCAGCAACCTTCTTGCTGTGAGGCGACAACAATACCCACTGCGCCACTACGCTGCCCCCTTTAGCCATTTTTCAGAAGGAAATTTTGAACTATTTAAAATATAAACCAATTTAGTATGATAACTTATTGTTTTGTATATTTTAGTATGTCAAAATAAGTAATGTGTTTAGTTTTTGCATAAATATGTGTTCACTGCAAAAAAAATTCATTTGCTTTTTTGTATATAAAATCACCTTTGTGCATTTATTTGATGAAGACACCAACATGGAATTTTTGTCATTACATCTATACTAGTGCTGCACAATATTGGAAAAATTGGACATTGCAATATTTTATTTTTCTGTGATGTATACTATGATATACTGTATCTAAACAATTTCACAAAGTGGTTGAATAGCTCTATTTTGGAAAGGATTTATAATCACACTTTATTTCAGAGTTTAATTCTCGCTATAGGAAAACTATTATTTATGACTTTTGCTTCAATAAACTCTTACTTTGCTCTTTAATAGATATTAAGCTATTTTAGGAATTGGGAACTCACCATCCCAAAATTACTTTGAATATTTTAACCATATGTTTTATGATATTTGTATGAACAATTTAAGTAGTCCACTACTACATTTAATATGTTAGTTTTTTTTTTTTTTTTGTATGTAAAATCACCTTTGTAAGCTCATTTGATGAAGAGACCAACATGGAATTTTAGTCTTTGACCCATTCGCTATTTCACATAAATACATACATTTATACATCTATACTAGGGCTGCACGATATTGAAAATATATGGACATTGCGATATTTTATTTTTCTACGATACATACTGTATCTAAATAATTTCACAAAGTGATTAAATAGTTCTAATTTGGAAAGGATTTATAATTACTCTTTATTTTAAGGTTTAATTCTCGCTATTACAAAACTAATATTTATGACGTTTGCTTCAACAAACTCCTAATTTGCTCTTTATTAGATATTAAGCTATTTTAGGAATTGGGAACTCACCATCCCAAAATTACTTTGAATATTCTAACCATATATTTTATGAAATTTAAATAACAATTTAAGCAGCCCACTACTACATATGTTTTTATTTATTTATTATTATTATTACCGTAAATAAAATCACCTTTGTAAGCTTATTTGATGAAGACACCAACATGGAATTTTTGTCTTTGATCCATACACTACTTCACATAATACATATATTTATACATCTATACTATACAATATCTATACTGCACGATATTGGAAAAATTGGACATTGTGATATTTTATTTTTCTGTGATATATACTGCAATATACTGCATCTAAAAAGTTTCACCAAATGGTTGAGTAGCATTTTGGAAAGGATAATAGTCACACTTTATTTTAAGGTTCAATTCTTGCTATTAGCAAACTATTATTTATGACTTTCACTTCAATAAAATTCTAATTTGCTCCTTAATAGATGTTAAGGTAGTTTAGGAATTGGCTTAGATGTAGAATAAGATCATGCCGATTATGTAGTTTTAAGCAGCCAATATCTCAATAACTTGCATGCTAATAAGCAATAATGAGAATTGGTGCCTAAAGTGTAATCAAAAGTGGTAATTTTGATTGAATGGGAAGCTTCTGTAGGGCACTGAATCATGCATAAAATGTAATAAAGAAACTACAAGCATAGATTAATGCAATAAAGAAAAGATAAAAGTGAAACCGTGCATGTTTTATGGTTTTGTATGTAAATATAAAAATTACATGCATATTGCATATCTATGCAGTGTGACTATTCCAGATGTGTACATTGCGATATCGGAGCTGAATTGATATATTGTGTAATCTATACCTATCTATTTACACATCTATACTCACTTCATGGAACATGGTGGAAATAAATGTGCAAAATTACTGACATTTTGTACTTCAAACTCAGTAATTTACACAGTCGAGAACAAGCATCACCTTACACTCAAGACTAAAGCAGGTGCTATGCACTTTCAGTCAGGACTAATTTAGTGCATGCAGGGTTTTTCACAAGACTTAGCATAGAAAGAGATTAAAAGTTAGTCTCCATTGGTGGTCTTCCATTCCACTGAGCATTATAATTGGACTCAACACCTAACCTCCAAACAGCGTGTTGAACTATGTCTTGCAGTGAAGAATCATTGTCAAACTTATCATTTATCAGTATAATAAGCAGCAGACCTTCACAGTGGATAAATGCAGTAGAACCAAATGACAACAAGTACAGCAAAACAACGTTATTTCTGGTCACTTAACTCCTAAAGACTTCTAAATGACTTCTGCACAGGAATGTTCACCACATGCTTTTAGCGAATCTTGAACACAAGGTTACTTATACATTTTGATTTACAAAAACATGCACAACCTTCCACCAACTTTTTTTATCAATTGAATTTGCCACAGGGTGTTTTAGTACGCAATTGCTTCACAACAATGTTTATTTTCTCAGGGCCATATGACATAAAATGGCCTGTGGAGTAAAAGTTCTACATGGCAGCACTTTGAGATGCAATCAAAGCGGAAACATTTCTGTTTTGCACAAACTGATTCTAGATAAATGAAAGATGCAATTCTTTTTACTGGCTTGAAGGAGACTGACTTTCTGTCTGGAGCTGTTTCTCTCATACTGTATATTCTGAGGCCATTAACAAACTGTTGATTTTATTAGAATCGTGCCAATTGCTGTATATATCAGACTTGGATGACCTGAAGGTGCCTATGGATGCAACAACCAAATGAACTGCAGTAACTACCAACAGTTGATCAATTTCAATAACTCATCTATTGTGAGCCTCAATCAGCTTTCATTCTAAGAAACCTACTGGATGCTTGCCTAAAGTCATTCCCGACAGTACACTATGACCTCAATGTGATTGTAGGCAAAAGCTGAAACATACTGCGCAACAACAACTGTCACACTGTATGATCCACATTTTAGCCCCGACTTTGTTCACAACTGACAGCTTTGACTGGGCATTTAAAGTCAACAATCTGTGTCCATTCTGACAACTTAAATTCAAATGATACCGTATAAACCAAAGCAAGACTTTGTGGCAATACTGTAAAAGCTTTTTATGATAATATTCAGATATTAAAGTGATAGTTCACCCAAAACTGGATATTCTGTCATCATTCACGCATTATTAACTTTTCACAATATTGTTTGATTTTCTTTTTTCTTCACAAAAGAAGATATTTTGAAATGTCTTGGAAACCTGTAAGCACTGACTTCCATAGTATTTGTTTTCCCCATTATGGAAGTCAATCATACAAGTTTTAAACATTTTTCAAAATATCTACTTTTGTTTTTAACTGAAAAGGGAAACACATAAAGGTTTGGAAACACTTGAGGGAGAGTAAATAGGGAGTAATTTTTCATTTTTGGGTGAGCTATCCCTCCAAGGTCTCTTACACACAAACACATTTTCAGCTTCTGTAAACTGACTCTCCATTCTATTTTGGCCTATGTATGAGTAAAGAAAAATGTTATATATTCATACAAATATATAGATTACAAATTACATTATGATTTTTTTTTTATTTCTTCCTTTGTTATCATTATACAGTAATTTGTTTTCATAATATTTTAAAAAGATTCATGAATGAGAATGGTCACACAATATTTTAATGTACAGTTTATGCTATCAACAAACCATAAACAAACCCCTAACTAAGAATTTTAGCTCAAACTAATAATTAAGTGCTTATTGATAGTTAGTAAGGTAGTAGTTAGATTTATGCATTTGGTAAGATAAGGGGTGCAACATGACATATTTAGCTCTGTAATGATCTGGAAAACCCAATACCCTGTCAATCAAGCAATGTAAAATACGATTGTACTTTATATTTGTTAATAAACTGTTAATATCTTAATAACAGATAGGTAATAATCCAATATTAAATTATGTACATAGTTACTTAGGCTAAAGTGTTACAGGGAGAATCAATAAACTGTGGCTAATCAACTGCCATTGAATGAATAATTTGCAATCATATAATATAAACAAAAGGCTAACTCTGACTATGAGTGTTTTAAAATGAAATATATTATAATAATTACAGAACTAAAGCGTGATAATGCAATCCAGATTACATACTAAAATAAATGTTTTCTTCTAGTAATCTACCATAGTACTGTTGTTTACACATCTATAAAACTGTAACTAATATCAGCATGATGACCACACTGAATCAGTGCAACATGACATATATAGCTCTGTAATGATCTGGAAAACCCAATACCCTGTCAATAACACAATTCTGCCCAGGAGTCGAGAAAGTCAAATAAGTCAATATGAAACAGTATAAATACTGTTCCTCAGTTTTAAGCTTTCGACTGCTGTGTTGGCCAAATCTATCACCACAAGCTAAGTATACACTCCAAATGAAGGAGGAAAAAATATCAAACATTTGACAAAACTAAAGGACACTAAAAATACATGTGAAGACGTTTCTTCATAACTATTGTCTTTTCTGATTTATGTTCCTATACTGCAACTAGAGCTGTGCGATTAATCTAAAAGTTGCAATTAGCTAATTGCAAGAGGCTGCGATAAGAAATATATATGTATTATTTAATTTCCCCTACCCAGAGCAAATGCATGACTGCCATCTGTCTTTCTAGCCAATTGAGTGAGCACACTTTTGTTTTGCCCAATCAGAATTGCGCAATCAATCTATGCAGAACACCTACAATATATATATATATATATAAAACAAACAGGAAAGCGCTTACGAGTGGGATGATGGCATTTGCCGCTTCAGATGCATTAACAGACTAATTATTATTAAAGTAAAACGGGTAATATGGGAATATTTTGGTTTCAAAGTCACAGACACCAAAGAAAAACAGGTAATTTGTAACCTAATTTGTAGCACCTAAAAAAGCACCACAGGAAGCTATATGAGGAGTGTCTTGCTAAAAAGGCAATTGAAAGTATTTGACAATCAATCTAGTAGCAAGCAACAGCAAAGTACAATTTCAGGATTGTTTCAGCTGTTTGTTAATGTAGTTTGCTGAGTGTTCTGTATTAAAATAAGCTACACTATTTCCCAAATGTGAGTTCAACGTGTTTACAGAAAGGTAAGGTAATTTCATTTGTGCTTAATGTTTGCTCTAGAGAAAAATGGGTGCTTAATTTCTAAATATTTAAAAACAAATTTGAATAAATTTTTAACTTAAGTTAATATCTTTTCAGTTCCTTTTTTGACTAACACTTACTGCATTTTTGCTAGATGCTATGATACAAATTATTGAGCTGAAGCTTGACTACAAAAATTAAATCGAATTTGCAATATGTCAAAAAATAAATAAATAGATAAAAATCGCAATTAGAAATTTTCCCTAAATTGCACAGCCCTTACTGCTACAGAAAGCTTTTCTATACTCTCAGGAATTTAAAATGGGCAAGACTTACTTCAGAACTCAAGAGTTAAACCAGAGATGAGCGTAGCACCTCACTGCCTCAAATAATAGCTCAAATGCCATGCTCAACATGTCCTTCCTGTGACCACTACTAAATAATCACCACCAAACTACCCATTATTCCTCCTGAGCACACGGTTTACATGTGAGAGAGCCTAGGAGGGTGGGCAGGCTAACGCTCAGCTCCACGGAGCCCCTGGTGAGCCCTCAAGGCTGTGAAAATGCTCACTGAAGATTTTGTAAATCTAGCTGCAATGGGAAATTAATGAGGTAAATCCCAGGGGGTGCTCCATCAAAAGTAACTCAGGCAACAACACAACAGGCAACAGGACTCAGAAGAGGCTGCCTAACCAGCGGTGAGCACCATATTAAACAGCAAATGCTTAAAGACACCCTTTTTTGTAATGACTCTCAGTGTGTAATTGTGAATAGTGACAAAGTGGCTGTGCTTGACTTACAGGACTTGCAAGAAGCAGTTTCAAAAAAGTTGGAGTGTAAGGGGAGGACATGAGCTCTTCGCCATCTGTAATAAGATGGCCGTCACAGGTGCACGTTAGTCGAGACGTTGCGGGGCTAATTCATCACTCTCCCTTTCTCCTGGCAACAGCTACATCTTTTACTCGCTACTTATATGTGCAAGATTCCCCTTCGGACATCTCTGACAAGTACAAAGATGTACAGTATGCCAAATCGCCATCTCTGTGGTAGTTTTATAAGATTGTAACTTCTCTATTGGCCTACAATCTTTGTTTTTACTTTAAAAAATGTCTGCAAACAATATTTTCTGGCTGTAAAAATTAGTAGGTAACACTCATGATTCCATAATAACTTGATATATGTCGTTTGGAGGCTGTCAATTTATATAATTAATTTTGTCTGCTGAGAAATTGCTTCTGATTTTCTGTGGTGTCCTTGAGCACAATTTAAATAAAACTGATATAAAATGGATATAAATGTGTTATATGCTTACAATTATTTATTAAAAAAACAATGCACTTAAATTGATATGAATAATTCTATATGTCTTATCTGTTTCACTTTTGATTTCTATTGCTGTTTAGGTACAGGCAAGCCTGTGTTTTATTTAAATCTTGCCTAAACTGAATGTGGAGTTGGTGGCATTTCTATTAAGATAAGCTTTCACTGGATGTTGTTTACTGATGGTTGTGATAGCATTTTTCTTTCCTGCAACACGTTGGGCACCTGCTGCTTTACTTGCATTCATGAAACGTGCCAGTAATTCAACATCAACACCTCCCAAGTGTATAGCAAAGACTGAGAGAGAACTTGCCAAATCTCACAACATTTCAAACAATTGATAAACAGCTTGCTTGTATAAAAATAATATCTAGTTTTGATATATGTGGCCTTTAAAACGGAAGAGAACATGCTTTGTAAAGTATGACCTACGTAGATTTAAGTTAAATACGTGTTGTTATTATTAACTGTACATTTAAGGACTAAAATATGTGTTAAAAAATCCTAAGAATCACATATTTTCAGACTGATGGAAAAAACTGTTAAAGAAATTACACAACACACGTCTACACAAACCATAAAAGCTATTTTCTCCTCAAGGTAAACATCAGCCCAACGCCACAAGTCCCTTGTCAAAGCTGAATGTGAAAATGAAATGTGGGCGTAATATATCAATATATTAATCATTTGGACTTTCTTATGTGCACAATTATGGTTCGTGTACGGAACTTCCCACACCTTGTCGTCGTAGTCTGCGTTTCCTGAGGCCGAAGATTCGCACTTTGGAGAAGATGTCGACCAGGTTCCCATTGCAAAGCCCTTTATTCTTATTAGGGCTTTTTCTCCTTCTATTGGTGGATGGTCGGTCTATATGCTGCTCCCGTGCCTGTCTCTTCTGGCGGATCAAACCGCTGGCAATCGCCGCTGCCATGTCTCAAAAACAGGGCTGTTGAACTCCTTACACACAAAGCACAGACAACAACAAACCGCCCGATCTGTCTCAATTATTGTCCCATTTTTGCGACCGTTCGTGCGCTCTGCCCTCTGAAATGCACGGATGATGATCAAAGATATCCACACATCACGACAGGCGAAATAAGACACTGAATTAGCATAATGAATACAAAGGTGAAGTGTTACTCAACTGTCCGTATTTCACATGTTCTCCAATTATCATGTCGCGGCTCGCGGGTTACTTTTCATTGCCGATTTCACAATGGTTTTTAGAAGAAAAGAGACAGAAAAAAATATCACATGAGTTGCCTGGCTCCTCCAAAATGCCAAAATGTATTCACGGCACGCATGAGAGTCTCTCCGATCCGTCACTTTCCCTCCTTTATTTCTGACCCGGTCCTGATGAAATTCAGCACCCTGGACAGCGACGTCCACTCGCGGAGTCTGAACAAACAAAGCGTTTTTCGTTCTGAGCTGTCAAGCAGAGAAACGCGACCACCTTCGTCTCCAAGGTGGAGCCCTGCGACTACACATATTCATATGTCTCACATATTCACCAAGTTTAGCAGATATCCACGCCGGTTCTGTGTAAACGTTCACTCATCTTGAGTATAACCGACGGCGTAACGACGGAGACTTGAAGTAAGTTTACGCGAAGGTGTTTATTGTTGATAAGGGATCTCCTCAGACGATCACTCCCCATTCAGTCTCATGTTCTAGGTCGCGTTGTTATTCGGTAACGAGACGCGTTTTTTCCTTTTCTAAAGCAGCATGTCTTCTGAGGGAAAATGTAAGTAACACCGAGCGGCTCCGGTGAGGATGACGTCTACCCGGTGTGACAGGAGCGAACAAATAAATAAACTCAAATAAAAAGTCTTCCCCCGAAGCAGGAGTAAACAAATGTGCAGCATAAGTGCAATCGTTAGCCAGGAAAGAAAACGTACTCAAGAAATGCTGCTCTTCATCCTCCAGTTCGTGCTCATTTAGCGTCTCCAACCGTTTGGAGCGAGTGGAGCGCGTGCGCTACCCGCCTCAGCCTCATAGATCAACGGCATCAACAAGTCTTAACGACCACGCGCTTCCCGCCTCAGCCTCACAGATCATCAACAAGTCTTAACGACAAACTCCTCCTTTGCCATCGTTTCCAGCCGAAAAACCTCCCTCCACTTAATGTCCGTGTATATCTGCACGGAAATGTTCTCTGTGTGCACGAGCGGATATTCAGATGCATCAATGATAACGTTTCAATGAAAAATAAAATGTTTGTAGGGGCAATAAGCACCAGACAAATCTATTTATTTAAAAGTATTCACATTATAACATAAATATGCACTCTACATATTTAGAAAATAATGTATTAGGGACTTCCATCGTTTATATTCTTAAATGTCACGTTTATGATAACCTGAGAACGGAATGTCTGGGAAATTAATTTCCACAACCCCACAGACACGCCCCACGACTGCAAAATGAAGCAGAACTACATCACACCACTACTGAGGTGCTGTTGAGACCCCCGTGCTGTAGAAAAACACACCTATGTAACGCACAGATGTGTCTTTTTGCTTTAGGTCCACATTTATCTGTCGCCTGTTTCTTTAATTATATGGTAATGAGTGTTGCGATAAGGGCTGGGGTGCCAATTTAATATCATGCCCCAATAACACAGAGTATTTTCTCATTTAGATTAATATCGCCAGAGAAACACAATCACAGAGGAGGAATTTGAAAAAAAAGAAAAAAGGAAAACTCAAGAGGGCCATCTGCTGTTTGTCGCTGCAATGAAATATTCAGTCTTTCATCCTCCTGCTGTTTTTCAACCCCCTCCACCCAAATAGACTGGCAATATAACTCTGGGATGGCATTTCCAGACGGGTCAGTGCTGGAGCAGATTATAGAGAAAATCCAATACACTGAACATGCAATTACATCTAATAAATTGCAAATTACATACACAGACTACACATACACATATAAGTCATATTGTGATAAAGAGGGAAAATGGCATACCTATATTTCAGCACATCTGCACAAATCATATGAGCACAGAAACAGCACACTACTAAAATAAGGAGAGCTTAAACTGGCTGCATCATTGTCTGTGAAGCAGCCACTGCAGTTTGCGCAGCCGCCAGCAGCGGACACTGTCAGCTTAACTATGACTCCATTTATTTACAAAAGCACAGACAGATCAGTTGGATTCATGAATAAGCCATAAACATTAAACACTATTAAAGCCATCCTTTAATAGACATCCAAAAATATAAATATATTTAAAAATGTCTAAATTAAAATGACATTTTAAGCATGCATTACCAAACACTATACATTATATTAATGGCTTATTAATTCAGGTTATGACCAGTGTTATATACACTGTAAAAAATATATGATCAATTAGTCCCGACAGTGCATGTTTTTAGGTCATTGTAACTTATTAAGTTAATCAAGTTCAAACTTAATTTTATAAGTTACACAAGCAGTTTTAAGTCAGTTTAACATAAAATAAGTTCAATATTAATTTGATTTAGCTTAAAAATTTAAGGCAACCAGGATATTTTATAGTTTAGGAAAATAGATAATAATTATTAGGTAAACGGAAAATGCAAGCAGTAACATGACAGACCGTATAAAACTGTTACAGTCTGACAACATCACTTTGCGCACAGAAAATAGAAAAGAGGTTAAGGGGAGAAAAATAATGGCAGTAGTCAAGGAGTCTGCAAAAACAAACTACAAAAAGACAGAAAGAACATGCCTGTGGCGTATTTTGAGTTCCTAACTGCTGAGCCTTAGCACTGAAATGAATACAGAATTGGATCTATTCCCTTCTTCTCCCCAGTTTCATCTTCAGCGTATGGCAGGAGACTTTACGCTTCAGAAACGTTTACTTAAAATAAAAAAAATGGACTACACAGCCAAAACACACAACAAAAAGACACTTAACAACAAACAAGCATTTCAATTCTGCATCAACAAACACACTCAAGTGAGTTTTCCTTTATGAAAAAAAACAACAACAACCATGATGTCATCAATATAAAAGTGCGCACATACCTACATGCTTTCTCCTTCTGAACGTATGAGACTCCATAGTAAACCCATTGCACATTCAACCGAGGTAACAGCATTTCCCTGCCTGGCTGTCAGTGACACGGCCCCATTTATAGGGTCTATACTCGCAGATAACATTATTAGTAAGATCTGCCTCAAACAATTGCTGTTCATCTGGCTGAGACGATCTCGTCTGAGACGTATTCTTAAATAACAATGTTCTACATTGAACTTTTTAATGATAATGGGTTGAAATGAATTATTTTGCACAAGTTTAGAGTTGAATGTGGAGCCGCTCGTGCGAGCAAAGATCATAAGAGAACAGATGCGTAATTCAGTAGAAGCACTTTTGATGTAGAACTAATTAACTGCTACATAAATGTGAGCCAAACTCCAGCCTCCCACGCTGTCCTTTACCTTCTCTTTTATGAACATTAGCTTACAAGATGAGCATGGTCATTCTGAGTGAATGCTATAAAATACAAGATACATGATATGGCTTTTTAAAAAAACATGAGATGACTTTATACAAATGCTGTGCTCTCAGTCTGAAACTGTCCTCATATCAAAGGTAAAGAGAGATGGATGAGATAGAGGTGGCAGTGAATATAAAAGCCCAATGAAGCGATGAAAACAGGAAGACTACATCTTACTTCAAGAAATGTCACCGCAGACAGAGACAGAGCATAAACAAGTCGATAGTTTGTATCACTACGGAAAGGCTTTAGGGCTGTCTGGTTTTTATTAGCTCTCGTGATGACAGAAGTTGTAAATTAGACTTAACATCATACGTGCAGAGATAAGAGGAAAACAGAAGATTTAGTGCTTTGCTGAAATCAAATTGTTTCACATTGTTGAGGTGAGAGAGAAAGAGAGTTTAATTTAATTGAGGAGATAGTAATGATTTTTGGTTAGAGTTACTTGTTGATGTCTGAGTTTAATGGGTTTGGTAAAATGTCACC